CGTGGGCAGCCCGGCCGCCTGCAGACGCCGCAGGCCCAGGCCCCAGGACGGCTGCCGCCGGCCCTCCGTGCTCACGGCCGTGTGCCCTCCCGCCCAGCCTCCAGGAGAACGCCCTGGGCATGGACGGGGCCTTATGCGTGGCCACCGCGCTGTCCGGAAACCACGGGCTCGAGCACATCAAGTGAGTGGGGCGTACGGCCCCCCGCGGCCCCCCGCAGACCTTGCCTGTGCCCCCCGCTCCTCGGGCCGCCCGCCCTGCTGACCGTCTCTCTTAGTCTCCAGGGAAACCACATCGGGGAGTCTGGCGCCCGGATGATCTCAGAGGCCATCAAGACCAACGCCCCCGCGTGCACGGTGGAGATATGAGCGCCCGGAGCTCCGAGCGTCACGGCCGCTTGCAGCCGCCTTCCTGCCGGGAACCGCGGGGCGTGGGGCGCGGAGGCGCGCAGAGGACCTGTCACAGCGGTGGTCCCTGGCCACTGCTGCCTCGCCACTCACCCTGAGGGGCCCGGGTGCCATCCCCTCGCGGAGGGCATAGGCGGCGCCCCTCTCGGGAGGACAGGCCTTGGTGCTGAGAAATTAGGGCACCTGGGGGGGGGAGCTACGGGGTGCTGGGGCGCTCTGTGCCTCCTGCCCGGCCGCCGCGCCCCTGACAGCCCCCGGGAGGGAGGCGAGCTGCCTCCCCGGCTGACAAGGATCCGAAGACGCGGCGGTCTGCCGGCCTGAGGCCCAGGGAAGCACGTGGGGCGCCAGCCGTGGCTGCCCGTCAGGCTTGCGGAGGACGCCCTCCCTTCCGGACGCCCCTCTGAGAACGGGTGTCCGGGGCCCCGCCTCTTCCCACGCGGGAGCGCTGGTGACGGCCGGTGACGGCTCCGGGCACCGGGCGCACGGGCCGAGGGAGGCGCCGCCGGGGCCTGTCCTCCCGGTGAGGCCGCGTGGGGCTCAGCGGTGCCTGGTTTCCGAGTTGTTCTGGGTATCGGGTCCCAGGCTCGGAGCTTGCTCTCAGCTTTCACGACGCTGCCCGAGTTCGGGTCTGCACTGCTTCTGGCCGAGGCGAGGGCTTGGGGGACACTGGCTGGGTGGCTGCAGAGGGCCGGCGCCCGCACGGAGGCCGAGCGGCCGGCGGGCAGGGCCCTTTGTCCTCGGGGCTCCGGCGCGGAAGACGGGGCGTCACAGCCAGCAGCCGCACGGCCGCGGCGCACAGCGAAAATGTGAATTTGCAACTAGGCCATAAACCAAGAGCCCGCACGCCGGAGTTTTGTGGGTTTCTGCGTCCGGGGCAGACTCTTCAGGCTCAGCAGAGACGCTCTCCTGTGGCGCGCCCCACTTCCTGCTGAGCCCGGGGCCCGCTCGGGGCCCCTCTGTATCCTCGCGCCTTCCGCGGCCTCTGCGGTGCGGCATCGCCGGGTGGGCTCTGCGCGGGCTCGCGGCTGTGCCTCTTGGAGTCACGTCCGGGCCTTTCTGGGCTTCTCTCCTCACGCCTGGTAATGTCTCCCCGGGCCCCAGACACTGGGCGGTTCATCTTGCTGGGTGCTTTCCGTGCGGTCCTTGAAACGCCTCTTCCTCCTGGGACACAGCTACTTGGCGACGCTTTGGTCCTTCCAAACCGCCTCCGGCCTGTCGCCACGACCCGTCACCCTGGCGCCTCCGTGCTGCCTTGTGCCCGCGTCACAAGAAAGCCCCATTGGGGGCTTCTCCAACCTGCTACGGCAAAGCAGGTGCCGTGGCCATGAGCTGAGCCCGTCACCCCACTCGGTACCATCAGCGCCCCAGTGAGCTGGCGCGAGCCTCCCCAGCACCAGTTCACGCACAACGGCCCAAGGCGTCCCTGCTTCAGGCCCCCGCAGCCCTCCACGGGCCCTTCAGCCAAACTTGCACCAGCTAGGGCCGCTGCTGTGCGCCCAGGGGTGCTGGAGCCTTCGCTGGGTGTTCACCGGCCCCCAGTGCTGATGGGGACTGACTGACC